TCCGTGTTTCTGTGGACTGAAATAAAGCGAAGATTATTACAATTTGGCAATAAATCTGTCTACTTCTGCTGCAAGTAAAAACCGCATATCATTTAATATTCTGAGGGCATTTGGTAACGGCTTGGAACTGGGAGTTGACGGTCGCACGAATATACTCCTATTTCAAACCCCATCCCTAGGTAATAATTTTACGAAAATAAAGTGTCAAAACAAACGTTCATCTTGCGAAATACACTAATCCCGAATACCAATTTGGTTTTCGTGGGGTACAGAAGTGAATTTCTCGTTTATGATGTTCCTATCATAAACAATAGACTCAGTTGGGTGTCCCATGGAAACCAAATTGTTATGCCAATGAGTGTATTTCGTTAATCTCGTGTATATCGGGTTCAATTAGAGCACAAAATTGAAGAAAACTGTGGGGCTGCGGTTATCTGATGAGGGCGTAGCTTGTCGTGGGCTGTCGAGGAGTTTTCAGCAGCCTTAGGAGTGGTGTATTACGTTTGTATAATGGTAATCTCCTTTCAAGCCGTTTGGAGTATTCCATTTGGCCAATACATGAATATATAGTGCATGTGCCTTACCTTCCATAGCCTGTCTACCAGACACCTGACTGAGACAATATCATCTTTAGATACCCTAATCATATCATGAAATAGCACCACAGTCATCAGTTCGCCTACACTAATGGGGTTGAATGCAAGCGCTTCGAAAGCTGTCAGCTCCATTTTCAGCTACTCACGAGTAGCTTGAGTTAACATTTATTGTGATCACCGATGAGATTTTATCTCCCCAAATATGTATTTCCGGTGAAAAAGCGCAGGATTGTAAAATTCAACTTACATGTAAGAACTGAACAATTAGCGATTACACATAACTAACTGTTTATTGCATTTTTTGCCTAATGAAGCCCACGTAGGTTGAGAATTTTAGTAAGCTCTGTAGGCACTTGTTGTATGGCTTCGTACAACCCATTTCTTGGTGGGAAATTTAGCTAAACACTAATAAAATCTTTTGCTAACCTTGATAATTTTACTATCACGTATCACCGAATATTTCAGAAATTCGGGCTCCTTTTCGAGTTCTTTGCTTCCTCAGATGGGATTTAAAATATTATTGCGGGTATCTGGAAATAAAGTTCCAGGTCATCCAGGTTGACGTCCAGGAGGAATTTCATCTTATTCTTACACCGTTACTGAGCATGCCTGGCTTACTGCAGTTCTGTCAGGCTAATATATTAAAGAAGTCCCAGCCGACATGCACATTGGTTATCGGGGTCTACTTCGAGGTGGAAACTTTTGTGAAAACAATGCTTGTGGAAATGCTTATCACTTAGGACTATTCAGTTTACTGACCGGAAGCATACTGAGATGTATGACCGCATGTTTTATTTAATAATTTATCTGGGTTGCAGCCCCATCCAAAATGTTTCCCGGAATCTTACGTTCCCTATTCTAAATATAAGGCTTTCTCAAAACATGACGACAGATTCCCCTCCCCTTAAAAATGCAACAAAACTTGTATAAATTATCCTTGCGAAATGAGATCCTGGAAAATTACACCCGTTCTGTGTGTCTGAGTGGAAGAGGGTGAATTACAAATTTTGCCCTCAGAATCGGTAATTAGTATTCGCAGAGCTTCGCAGAAGAAGCAGTCTCGGACAACTGCTTCCAAATACAGCTCGAAATGGCTAAAAACTCATCTGCCCGGAGGTACCTCCGGGAAATCAGCTGACCAGTCACTCAGATTGGACGTATATTGCACATAGACCATTTGTTTCTCTAGAATTCGCTTTGGCTTTCTAGATGAGCCGATATCAACGCAAATATATTTCGAAAACATTGATTTAGAAGCCAGAACACCGTCCGTTCCATCTGTACTTCATTTAAGGCACATACCCAGAGAACTGACAGTGTACGGCGCATGTACATGCGCAGAAATAAATCAGAATATCAAAGAGATTTTACGCAAACGGCTCTACGATACCGTCCAAAACGCCACAAGTTACACTGTCTTGAGGAGGAGCTTTCGTCTGGTTAACGTCTTTGCAGTTGCACACATGACGCAATAAGTCTCCGGGCATATAGCTCATAACTATTAGAGTAATAATAGTAAAGGAGTTTCACTAATTTCTAGTATGCCTTTCTGTCCATTCTGCCAGCAACAGGGCAATGTGCTTAGAGAAACTGTCGTTCTGCTAGAGTGAGAGCAGAAATGTAACCTGTCGGAGAAACCTCAACCAACCGAGCAAATGTGCACAGTAAATGTGGCTTATCTTTTGCATTTTATTCGTTTTCCAAGGCAGGGCAGGTGGCGATAAAGTAGCTAGATTGTTATACTGTTATGTGATCTACCTAATGGTAATATTTTCCTGTTCTAGTAAACTGATAAGACAACCTTTTGAGGCAATGTTATCTTTTGTAAATATACTGAATTTTTTTAGAAACGTACGGCTCAGTCTGTGCACCGTCTACAAAACATTACGTCCATTTATGTTATCATTCTGATTGGTACCGAGGATTCCCGCTCTATGGAGTACTAGGTTAGGGAAATGCGGCCAAATCGTTTATTAGAAAATAAATGTTTATTAGTTTCTCACCATGGAAAAGTTGGATAAATGGGCTAATAAAAGATGCAGAAGCCAGGGCAGTATCTTCGCTCTCTGATCGAAATTTTGATTGGGACAGCTTTCGCCTTGAAGACGATGAACCAGTTACAATGTGCTGTCCGCACAGTATTGCAAAACGGTTTTAAGTTTAGTGCGGTTTCTACGGCACAGTAGCTGACACAACCTTAACGAGTCACGTGCCACTCCTATGTTGTGTTATTCTGTTGTGTTACTAAGACAACTGTAACCCAAGGTGCGCTTAAATAATAAAGCTTCGTTTGTTTATGTAACTTGCTTTTGCCGCACACCAGCACACCTTAACGCACGAATAAGCGTTTCTTTAAACACTGCTTGGCCTTAGTATACGTATCTGAATTGGAAAAACTGGTATATACGAAAAAGTGTACCTAAGCATTAAGCTCATGATAACACCATTGTAATGGTTTAATTCAGGCAAAATACTTCTGTCCTGGTAATTCCGTTCCCAGGATATACAGCTATAAACATGGCGGTTGCGGAAAAGTAGACTACTTTCAAAAACTTGCTGGTCAAACCATTCGTTCACATTTTCATTCTTAGGAACCAGCTTCCTAAATTCTGTCCTGAAGAATAGTGAGTGCCTTTTTCACTCCCAAGCCAGTGTGAGAAAACCGCAATATCATCGTATATTATTATTAATCATAAGTAACCGTTTCGCTGTAACACACTTCCCGTACCAATCCGTCCTGTTGCCCGATGGAAAAACGATACTACCAAGTTTCCCAGGTCTAGAAAGGAGCAGATGTCGGGTTTGGGTTTGAATCAGGAACCTTTCGATCATTGTATTCGTGCCCTAACCACAAAATTATCTCGAGGTCATTTATCTCGGATTATCGTGTGAATAACCACTGAGTCGTGATGGCGGTTCCCTGGGAAAGACTGTTTGCTAGTTCTTCTATTTTGATATTTATGGAAACTCGACAAAATGCCACATAAAATAAGATTACTAGAAGATAATTTCCATGCCGTACTTTATATGTGGTTCGAAAGTCTTTTCTTCTTGGATGACGAACAAAACCTATGGATAAACGATGGCCCATATGCTATGGCCATCGACTAGCGGTTTTAAAGCCAACCACTTATCTGATATCATTTGTTAAGTGTGACTCATTGGATTATCCACATTGAAGTTTTTTGGACTTGTAGTTTTTTTTTGGTTCTAATGACCACTGGCGCTAAATCAAGCAACCTTTCCAAGTGGCACTGAGCACAACACGCATTGTTTCCTCACACATTAGGCCCACTCATGAACTAGAGACCCTTTCATTGGGGAATCATGCAAATATGGCAGAAACGCTGTCTTTTGGGAATCTATGTTCAGTTGGCTTGAGATATTTATACGCTAATCAAATGGATTTTGTTTGAAGGTCTGCTTGAATGAAACCATCGTAATATTCACTAAAATTATTTTTGTTGATCTTCCATGCTCTTTCCAAATCCCTTTCTAGAATTCCAGCCGGGAATTGACATCGCTATAATCGGAAACAACATCACAACGCTTTTGCTGAGAGGACCTTCACTGAATATTATTGATTCTGTAAGCCACATGTATCCATATAGTGCATATTTCTCAGTTCTTCCACATTTAGCTGACATTTTCCCCACCGGTATATGTGGGGATTAAGTGGCCTAATCGCACAATGTAGTTCACGGTCCTATGTGTACTAAGTGCAGGTTCATTCCAAAATTAGTCTTATAGTCTTAGTCTTATATTTTACCTTCTACTGATTTTCTTTAGTGTGGTACTGCCAAAGTTTAATGCACAATGTGGTTTGGAGATACCGATCCATTTTCACCTAATTGGACATTCAGCACTCCGATGAATTAAAGAAGTTCAAATGTTATTCATGCAGAAGTGTATAATTTACTTTTTGTTTTGTGACTAATAGCTAATGGTTGAACCTTAATAATCTAGGATCAGATACCAGTGGCAGTTTCTCAAGTATTGTTCAGTTTTGGATGAGTCTTTTGGTCCTACATAGACTCATAAAACTTATCAACGTCTGGGTTTGCGCGTTGAGAAGAATAAATATTTTCAGGAGACTCTCACATATTGCTCACTTTCTTAAGTAAGGCAGTCAGGTTTTCTTCAGTGTGTACAATTCTTTTACTGTTTTGTTTCTGCTGCAGTGGTTCTAACCAAAGTGAATAAACATACATAGCAATAGAATGACGTTTCGTATTAGATTATAATAGATAGCTTGAATTTGTGCTATTTCCAAAAACTGAGGTTTTGCTACGCATCTTGACGCGTTTTAATCCCATGTATTCTTATACTCCTTGTGTGCTGACGTGTGGTTACCCAGATGACCAAGCTGTGACGTATTATACCATTATGTTTTATCCAACAGTGCCCAAAAGTAATTATCATAGTCAAGAGTGTCCGCTTTTTTCATTTGAACACTTCATGAGAATAGAGAGAAAGGGAGATGAACACCAAGCATAAGAGCGTAACATTTAAACTGGAGGCCAATTTTTGCGCCGGGGACTAGACGTTCCTCTTTGTTGTCACAGTCATATATGGACTAAAGGTCAGTCTGCCTGTTATTGTTGGGCAACCTTTTGAACTGGAAGGTAAAGTTTGAATTCTGGGGGCAACTCCTCTTCAGAATATAGTCGATCACTAAAGTACACACGTCGAATCCGACAGTTCGCGTGAATCTGAAAAAGGTACCAATAAAAGTAGCCTGTTAAAATGCTGCTCAAAGAAATAATCCCTTATTCTGATTGAAGGACATTGAACAGTCATAAAAAAGAGTAAAATGAAGCTCACGACGATAAACAAATAGATTGCTAACCACAAACAACTTGGATTTTTTCAGCTAGCTAGCCATAAAAGGGTAGCGCAGAGAACAGGGCTTATACTGAATAACTGTTCAATGTATGGGCTTACACTGCTGAGTAACAAAAATGTAGATGGTTGATATATCAGGTTTAAGCTTTGTACTACGTCCAGCTTTTTAAAATTTGACCTGCGGATGAATTCTTTTCACCGTAGATAAAATTGCACAAAATTGTACAAAAATACTATCATTCTTGAGTGATTAAAACACATGTACATTCTTCAGAACACAAATCTATCCAACCTCACTCGGAGCAAAAACTGCTAGTCTTCTTGTGGATGACTCTGAAGCCTAGAGATTTTTATCCCACTTAACGTATAAACGACACGATAGTCCTTATTTTCTCCCATTATTTTCTCAACCCATGAAATCTAGAGATCAAAACGAGCAGGACATGGTGTCCAGGATCTTCAGTCTGAAAACTGAGTACTCCAAAACAAATTAAGCAATCTTTCTCGTATGCACATAATTACTCGGTGATATATCTTTGATGGAAACCTTACCCTGTCGGTTGACAGGACCATGCAGATTGTCTCTCGCACCCCACACGGCTAACGTTTCTGTCACCCTCGCTAATGAGCGGTGCTGCCCATATACACTCCCAATGGAATAGCGGAACAAGCAAAACATTCTGTTGAAAACCCCATTTTCTGAAGGATTATCCCAATGCATCATGTTTGAGGACGAACAACGGAAAAGGATAGTTGAGTGTGGGAAGTATATTTGACTGTAAATTCGTGGAAAATCGTGATCGTGGCCAATCCTATGTATGTTTTTGCATTAATGCGGACCCTTCAGCTGTNGCTGTCATGAAGCACAACACTCTTTCTTTTATCTCTCTCTCACAGGAATACGAGCATGTCACTTCCTCGAACGAATGATACTACCAACATGACTCTTCTAGATATATAATTCAACTATAATCTTGTCAAGCAGGACAAATTTAATATTGGGGACTCTAGTGGCTTTGCTTTCGATACCAGTGGTTTCTGTGTGAGGCAAGCAGAAATTAGCCGTTTTTTTATATCCTATTGGAGATTGGTTCATCTGTCATCTTGTGAGCCAGAAGGTGTAACCTATAGGTTTGCACTGTTTGGGCAAATGGTGATTGTAAACAAAGGCACTGCTTTCCGCAGAGATTGTTGCACCACCCAGGTTTGGGAAACTGTGGTCCACATGAGAAGGCATCTTGTTTGATGTTCAGGGTCTGTGTCCTTCAACCCAGTCAGCATCTATTACACTGCTTCCCGTATCATCACGTTGGTTTAGACTCGAAGGAACATAATATACGCTACATGGTCTGACCCATTTTGTTACTTAGATACTTTGACAACCTAAGCAGAGTAATTGGTGAGAAACTGTATTATCGTCCCGCAGGCTCCCAATAAATCGAGGTGCGAGACCTGCCCTCTAGGGAGGGTTCACATTATCCAATGTGCTTATAGCTAAGTATTAAAATGTCTACTAGTCAGTCACCAACTCTGTGGTTTCCAGTTTCTTTCCAGATTGTTTGACTGCCTACATGATTATGTGATGTTGACACCCTGAAATCTTCATGTTGGTCTGAAAATGAATCCTTTCTCCGAACCGTTTTTTTGTTTTTTGTTTTGTTTTTTGCATTAATGTGTGGTGAATAATGTTGCTGACAGTTTTATTTGACTTTCGGCACCCTAAAAGACTTTTGCCTTAGGCTTAGCTAAAATGAAGACATCAAATATTGGTCCAGAAAATCCACAAAATCTTATCTAAAACACCCTTCTCAACCAGAAAGACATCATTTAGGAATGTACCTGTACTCGTAGTGTCTCCACGTAATTAGTGCCGTAGGCTCTTCTGGTAAAATCGCATAGGTTGAATTGAATTTGATTCCATCCTTCATCCAGGCGCATAGGCATCGTACAAATGAAGGGTTTTACACGAGTTGTACTTTGATAGTTGCTTGCCCGAAACCTCCTCTTGATATTTTTATCATCAAGAATCTAAAAATAGAGCAAAATAAATAAAACCACCGCAGTCGTAAATGCCTCTGTGAATGGTTGACTTGAGACTTTCACCAGATACGTTAAGCCATTGTAGTTTTCTGTGATGTTTCCTAAAGAGGCTCAAATCGTATAGGGGCAGAAAGCGATGACCTAAATTTCTGTGGGTCTGTGTTTGTATTTTAACATCCCTACTAGTAGTGGAAACCGTATACTGACTTGTTCGCTAAAATGACAAAAAACGATCAATCGTTCTATGGCAGCATAGAATGAGTATTTCCCCGTTTTAAGAAAAGAAATTGCTGTGTCTGTCCCATAATAAGCTTATGTTTGCATCTACGAAAAAAGGGAGACCGAGGGACGGAAGATGTTTCCATTCTTTTACAGGTCTGGAAGGAATTGAATGACAAACAGAGCAAGCAAAGTCTTACAAAATGATACTTTCCTTGTCTTATGATAGCAAAACCAATAAGGTGGACGTATTTAGCTCCAAACTTGTCTTATTTTAGCTCAGGCTCTACATTCCAACATCGTAGCTTACAACGCCAGCCTCAGTAGGATTTCTTGGAGAACGTGGAAGGCAAAATATATGCCTAAAGTTGAAGTTAAATATATACCGAAATCCTTATCTTGCTCTCAGCTGTATCTGAAAAGATGCCCGAAGTCCTCCTTCAGTTTACGTATAAGAATTCTGCAAATTACGATACAGATAAGTCATAAACGTGGTGTTCAGCCGCAAAAAAGACTCACTAGTTTCCATTAGGTTTAAAGAATACGCTTAATGCCACTGTTGCAGCAAAAATATGTAAATGGGTTTTAATTTGTAACTGAAACAGCCACGGTGGATAAAAATTTTGGACAAACTAGGAGAAACCCTTGCATTCCCCTGCTCCCTTGGAAATCAAAAAGCTAACGATTTCCAAGCAGTCAAAAAAACAACGCCAGCTGTTTATAACTTTTAAGCCACCAAACACTCGTTTTTAATCACATTCGTTAAATACCTAGAAATACAAGAACACAATCTTTTCATAGCTCACAAAGCTGTGAACTTCTCGCTGGAGACTGTGGATCTCTGCTGTGACTTGTTCTATATATGACCTTTTGAATAAACCTACCTACTTAAAGCCTTACACCATCATTAGTCAATACCGAAAACTCCGTGAAAACGGACGTTTATGCGCAGCTATTTGTCCGTGTTAGGTGTCATCTAAACAAATACCTCATAGGTTGTCTTGCGACAAACCGGTTATTACTGTCATTACTCAAGTAGCTAGTGCAAAGTTGGTCAGTGTTTTGTATTTTCTAAGCTTAGAGAATTAGAGAAAGCAAGTTGTCTTCTATCTTGGTTGCATGTGTTCTAATGGTAAGGCTAATTTTGTTGAACAATGCTTTGGTCTCTATTAACAGAATTATTGAATATGGTAAACTTATGACAACGTTAAAGCACCCATCTGTATACACGCAGCCGTTTTGATAATGCAAAATAATCGAAGAAATTGTGTTTATGATGACCGGTTCATCATATTGAATATGGTAAACTTATGACAACGTGAAAGCACCCATCCGTATACACGCAGCCGTTTTCATAATGCAAAATAATCGAAGAAATTTTGTTTATGATGACCGGTTCATCGAGCGAAAAGAAAGCTACCCGGGTATGCGGGCAAGATTCTACCATCCAAGCGGACGAACATCAAACTTTTGATCCTTATAAAATGTTATATCTCAAAAGCACAAACACCAGTGCAGTCTCATGCCATAGAATTCAGTGATGTTTGCCATGTTCGGTATTATTGATGTTCTTGTTGTCAGTTTCTATTCCGACTGCCTGGCTAGGCATTTGGAGTTGTGGACTCCCTGATGTGATGGCAGTAAGCTATCACTCAGTCTCTCCCCGTCCAGCAAAGCATCGGTGTTGTACATTATGTCATGCTGTAAGTGATTGTGATGATATTTGGTAAGTTATAGCTCACAGAAATCAATAATGATATTTTGTCTTGAGTGAAGACAACAGAAACGAAACAAAAAGCTAAGGCGATTAATAATAGTTGGGATGCAGAAACCTCTCTTGAGAGACAAGCCATTCAGTTAAACTTACTGATCTAGAGTCGGAGCACCAACGAATCTGGTTTTCGCAGTTGAGAGCGATAAATTAGGGACATCACTTAAAATTTATGCGCTTTTTTCTGCCATTGTAAGGACAAACTGAAGTTACTAGGAGCAGACAGAATTTGACAAACTGACTGGTTCTCGAGAAACAAAGTCTCTAAAACCAGCCTGCGGTAAGAACCGATATTGCAAAATTAATAAGAACGTGCTTCAACGCTATTAAAGATCAGCCGTTGACTAATATTGTTGCAAAAGCCCAAAACTTTAAACCGCTTGTTTTTGAGGTTTTTTTATTTTGGAGTCCATCAAAAGGTTCCTCATTTCTTTCTACCGTCTTTTCTAACATATGGAAAACTCATTTTTACAAAATACACACTGAAAAGTTTTAATAATTGATTCTGCTTATTAACTTGAAGGGTACAGAAGCCCTGTTCCGACTATGCCAGCACGGAATACATTATTTATTCTTGTGGCAGCCAGAAGTTGGGCATTGTTATGCATTTTTAATTTTTAATAGCATTTTCCTACGCTGAATATTACCAGCGTGCCTGTTAGGGTGTCCCAAACCATTGACACCTTCGGAATTCTTCTATGTAAAATATTTTAAAGTTAAATATTTTTATCCCAGCCCTTTTTGGTCTCATTAAGTGATCCACTGTTATTCTTAAGCGCGAAGGAAAGCCTTGTGGAGAGTGCGGCATTTGTAGTGGGCCTATATCAATCGAACTATCAATCAAACTTCTTTAGACAGGAGCTTCGTACTAATGAAACACCTACTATAAACATATCATCACCAGATCAGTCAGTTCAGATTTATGAATTTCTTTTCCGGTGTTCACTAGGATTTACTGCTTGACTCAGTTTCGTCGCTCCGCATGTGTATAAGAACGCACCTAGTGCTATTTCTTCCAACACTTCTGTGACGACCAACTTAAAAAATTTGTATGTGGTGGCTGAGGACCCTAAAATTAAGGAGCTTCAGGGATGTTTGGATTACTTGCAGGGCTTTCGGAAACCACTTGCACCTTTGATACTCATCGTGGACCTTTCGAGGATGTGGATGTGCTGCAAGGATGAAAGCAGCCATGTGCGCATCAAAAAGTATGGCTTGTTCAGTACTGCTGACATGAAGCCGTCAAAGATGGATGGCAATCGCTCTACCTTTAAGTTAACGTTTATCAGGATTCAGCGGCGTTCATCAAAGCGAGTCTAAATAATAACTTTTCAGTCACTGACACTCAAGATGCAGTTGTGTTAGTCTATTTGATCTCTCCTTAATATATTTTTACGACGTAACTTTTGGAGGTTGAATTTGAGCTATCGTTTGAAAGACATGAGGTTTGGTGGGTAAAACATCCGTTGGTATGGTGCTTTACATGGAGCATATCCAAAGGGTGCACCAGTTTGCTCTCATTGTCCAGCATAGTGGCCACTCAGGGTAGGGTTAGTACTTACGGTTGGAACTGCTAGAATTTTGGAACAGCTGCAATCTAAGGATGGAAGCACCGCCTGACTTAACGAATGCCATAAAATACTGCTTTTTAATACTCGACGCCTTGGTGTATGGTAGGTTATAAGGTCGGTCTTTTACAATTAGATAGCCTAGTTAGCCTGTAGACAAAAGTATGGTGTGATTAACTCTTTGGGCATTTTGCATCTGTAGCTTTAGCTTTAAATGTCTCAGCTGACTTTCAGCTGGCTGCCTGTAAAAATTAAATGTTGTACCCTCTATTCTTCTGGATCTGAAATCCCAGATCTTTTGCGTCTTTAAGAGCGCATTTGTATATACACTTACCCTCTGTGGAGATGTTGCACTGTTTTAACTACACGCGCAGCTAAGTATCAAAAACCGATTTTGTGGTGTTCAGTAGAATAAAATCTATCGGTATGTAATTAACGGGGTTATGTTGAGCATTTCCTTTGTAAACGGATATGGTAATACCCTTCTTCAACAGGTCTTGGGTGGTGGATGCGTTCAGTAACTTTTAGAATTTTGGTGCTGACGCAACAAGATCGTCTGGTAGGACAGCATCTAATGTTTGTAAAAGCGTGTTTCCGAGAGGTTTTGAGTTGTCGTCCAGCTGATGAAGCGCTAAAAGCGACACAGTAAGCATCGACCGCAATAGCCGAAGCGCCGACAGTTAGGATCACAGTTTCTATGATAGCTCTGGGGGACAGACTCATACTGGCCGGATAAAACGTCTACCGTCTCAGTCCGTTGCAAGTTAGGCTGGCGAGCCTTTTCGCTTGACGTTAACAGTTTTAGTTGAACTCGATTTGCCAATTAATTGAACAAATAGGTTGGCCTGTCAGCTTTGTTTGTCATCCAGAGTGAACGTAATTTAAGCGTTTCTTAAAATCTAATATCCAGCCAGATCCATCTTGCCCGATCCAGACCTGTATGTTTCACACCGCTAGTCCCATTTGGTCATCAGCTTCACAGTCTGACCAATGGATGCAGCTTGGAGACTGGGATGAGAATGTTTCGCACTTTGTCCACTGGCTTGGCTTCCGGGCATTCGCAACAAGCCGTAAATACCAGGTTTTTGGATTAATCAGACGGGTTTTCGTCCGGTCGAGATGATCATGGTTTCACTGCGTGAGCTACTGTTTATATTATGTAGTGATACCCCAGTGATGCAGCCGAACAGAGTTTGGTGGAGGGCAGAATTACTCGTGAGCATTTCAGTATATAAGAGAAATGTAGGTACGTGCATAAAATCGGAACATCCGTGACGGTGGGAATAAGCCAAGTAATTAAACAATGCGGAGAAGTAGAATGCAGCTCGTAGTTGCTCATTGAAAAAATATTTTTGCACGTGGTTGCCCTGAGCAAAACGCATGATAACCTAATAGGGGTGAATGGCAAGATAAATATATTGGCGGGTTTCAGCCAAAATTATGTTATTGCTTGATATCGTACTGTTTGTAGACAATTGTAGTGGGGTACTTATGGCTATGAGCGAACATGACCGGGAAACAGAAATTAAATATCATGTGAGCTGTTCTTTTCAACGAGCTCCGGTTAAGAGGATACAGTTCATCTGGATGTGGCAGCAAAGAGCGATCCATGAGAATTTCATTTGAGGTTCCGTTATGCAAGTGAAGTTGGTTCGTGATGAAAAACTGAGATGCATTGTACAGTTATTGCACCCTTACTGAGAAAAATCAGCGCCGAGCATTTTATGAAACTCCGAGAAGTTTCGGACCTAAGACTTCCATCCTAGTGTCTCACGCTCTAAACCGTTCAATCAAGGACCTCTGATCAGAAGTGATAAGAAGGCATAATGGTCGCAGAAGGTGACTTGTCCACTTATTCTGGTAATTTGCTTTACCGCACCTATATAGGTGCGGTATATATCATATATATATGTCATATATGACAAAAGGTGTCCATGAAGGCAACACAGGGTATCATCAACATCCAAAAACGATGCAGTGTTATGCAATCGGTCTGGAAAACTTTATTTTCAAGTGTGGTCCCGCATTCATCACATTTTACGAACAGTGACTTCCCAAGTGGTAGAACTAAGTGGGTAAATCAATAAAGTAACTGAACCAGTAAATTAATCATTGGCGATCTTACTACAACCTCTTAACGACAATGGACATGCTATAAAAGTGTAATCTTGTTTGAAATTCCACCTACCTGAACCTCAAAAGTGAAGTACTTTTTCAAGTTTTTGATTATCATAACCAGGAAAGGCAGTTTGATCCCAAGAGTTTTCTTCGGATCATTTGGACATGTTACATAAGTTGTGCTTCGAGCATAGTGTTAAGTATGGAGTAAAATTTACGTGACATTTGTTCCCATTATTTCGATCACAAGCGACTGTATGTCATTATCTGTTATCCGCTTTATGTGACCATTTCTGACCTAAAATTTGGGTAAACTTCAATCATGGTCCTTACGCTCTTGTCCCAGATTTGAAGAGGTTTGCTGCCAACGCTCAATAGAATGGATAAAAACCCGCTCTGAAATGTGTTTTTGAACATTTTTAGGATGCTAGTTTTGAGGACTATTTCAAGTCCCACGGAGATGATTACTATGACAACGATATAGTTTTCAATTAGTTAAACGAAACAACACTATGTAGACTGATATAGGGTCATTCGGACGTCTATAGTGTCACATCCAAAACTGATGCTTCGCCAGCAGTTTCGGTATGGCTCAGGCGGAAATATGGCAAATTTTCTGTTCGATGTAGCTGTGTGATTGTATGACCTAAGCCAAGCAGGTAAAATGCCTTCCGGCTATTACGTCGGGGCTGCATCACCAATGCAGTAGCATGCTGGCACAGGCGAACTAAACGTCATTTTGTAATCGCAGAATTGTTACAAGAGCGATGGTAGAGTAGAAAAAACAGCAGGCGGACCACATTGAACAATTCAGTCGACAAAGCCAGAGAACCTGGGGCTTTTGGACCTGTATAAACTCAGCCATTGTATGTAACCCACAATGTACCTTGTTGCAGCGGCAAGCTAAAAGAAAGGAGAACAAACGGATACGAAAGCACAAACGTATCGTTTGGTCAACAGGTAGGGGAACTGCTGAGACCAGGCGAGAAATACGCATCCAGGGTGTGGCCGAGCTCACAACAACCAAATAATGGCTCAGTGGCACAATCCTTTGTTCATTTTGATGGATAAAGGCAGGAACGAATGAAAACCCCGAGGTTGTCATTTAGAAACAAAGTTCTTGAATCAAACTGGTGTGAAACTTCTTTAACTAGGCCAGTGAGAAAACCCCGCCACCGGATTTATTGAATTTGCAGGAAGATTACCAAAAACTAGTTACCCCGTGATAAAGCCATACTATAATCTAGTCAAAGAATCAGGAAGCGCCTCTTGATTAGGACTGCTGTTGGAAACGTCTGGAGTACGGCGCGAATGCTGCTGGCATTCGTAGGAAAACTATCGCCAAAGGGTTTTTGCATTCGCCACATACTCCACTCGAACAGCACAACAAACCACCTCAAGGGATGCCTCTTAGGTGATCTACATGGGTGCGAAATAGCTCAACAAGAAGGGAGTATTTTAGCGGCCGCCACCTAAAACACAAAATGCGAATATTTGGACTTTGAACGATATGGTGGCGCTTTTCCTGGGAGACCTGTTTATTGGAAATAGTTTCCACATCTGATGCGCAATGTTGCTCACTTTACACCGGGTAATGCAAATCTTAAGATTGAGGGTGAACATGTTAACCAAGTCAAAATAACTGCTCATCAACTGAAGAGACTCCACGTCCAGACTATGATAGAAGCTAGAGGAAAGTTGCACTCGTCAAGCAGTGAGTATCCGTTTCATTCCAAGTCGTAAAACCAATTTGATGCTTGTTAATGGTTGCTTACATGAGTAAGATAGCGTGCTTTTTTTTCAGTGTGACCGCTGTTTAGACCACATTCGGAGCTGGCAAATGCGCATCGTTATTCGGAATGATCAGCTCTGACTTTTCGTATGAACAGCATTCTGACGAATCGAAAGGGACAAATGATTATTCACAGGAGAAACGAAAGGGACAAATGATTATTCACAGGAGACTGATTCCGTAGACTGATTCCGCACAAGCGAAAAACAATATAAAAAGGTGACAAGTAGCACGGTTAGTGCTATTTGGAGAAGGCGAGGTGTAATTGAAGTCTACAGCTTGAGGTATTATCGGGCAAATATCATTCCGAAAAGGATCTTGTGAGATTTCCTTGTTCCTTACTGGCTATGGTCAACTCACACCTCTACTCGGGAACAGCAAACAAGATCAAGCACTGGTGTGTATGTGGGATCGGTAGAGCATGCTTACCCTGTGTGCTAAGCACCCATGAGAGAAAAACCAGATTACTTCAGCCTGATGCAAAGAACGGCGACACTCTCATATTTTGAAGCTAGCCTTTTATTTTGATTATTAAAGCTGTCCGATCCAAAAGCGATGCTAATTCAGGAGAAATCCAAGACCACAATTTGGCACACTGGGGATGCGCTCAACATTTTTACTTCTGTGCGACTGTATCCAGCGGTCGTCTGCACAACAGAACTATTTCTGGAAATCAAATGTGGCTTTGTGAACTCGCCTCACAATGCTTACAACAGCCTCCCTTGTGTGCTAGTGACACCCATAGAACCACAGTGGCACGGTACTATTTCAAACAATAAAAGATAACCTCATCCCGGACCGAATACTTCAAAAATGACGCACGTCATGGGGTTGTCCAGAAATCGAAGTATATCAGTACAGTAATGTCATGGAACTGCGTACTCAGGTGGCTTGCTTACCCACAACTATTCACTTCATACTTTTGAGGATGCTGTCACCCACTCGTGCCCTAACTGCAACCGCGAACAAGCTCTTCACTTAGCCTAAGCCGCCTCCGTGACCCGCTCATTCTAAGCCACCGAACCTTCTGTTTTGGTTGTAAACATCGCGTTGACTTTCATTCCGCTCTCCTCACAACGTCAATCATTTTCTGTGCAGTTCGCTTTCCCTCTTGTGCGCCGGCAACAAAATCCCTCCCTCAAGCAACGTTTTCTCTAGACTTCACTCCAGTAGTGACACTAATGTGTCTCCGCAGTTTCAATGTACATCATGACCATGACTCCTCTACTTCATCATCCCCACTTTCGCTTTTAATGGCCCCCGCCATACTTCAATATCGCGATTTTAGACTTTAGTTCACATGGATCGGCCAAATCTTGATAGCATACCTACCGCACCATATTTGTCGTTCTGATTCATCATCTTTCGCATTTATTATCGTCATGTACCAAGCAGGATGCCTCTTTTTCGCCCTCTCTTGTTCTGTTCTTGCCCACCACCTTCAAACCCTAATAATCTAAACTTGTCTCAGCTTGATATGTTACCCACCAAAAGTAAGATAAAGTCCTGGTTACTGCGTCTCATCTCGCATGCCGGTTTAGGAGTGGTCCAGTCTACACAGGATATTTTCCACTATTTATGACACTGTCCTTCTTTAGCGCAAACCTGCAGCTTTCCGCAGTCGTGCTCTATGCTGGTTGTAACCGCATGCTCACGGCTGTCGGCATGCAACGCACAAGTTATGAACAAACATTAGCATTATTTATTTATTTACTTATTTATTTATTTATTTATCTATTTATTGAGTTATTTATTTATTTATTCTATACGCAGATTCGAATGCACCTCATACATGAAGAGCGTAATGTGCTGTTGCACGACTGGGTGGAGTCATTCCAAAAGCGTATACCTGCTGGTGATATGGTAAGTAAATTCCCGCATTCGCAGAACACTTAAGCCTTGGGGGACTACTTCATGATGGAGCCCAATCCCAAGATCAAAATGGTCAAGGTATCATATTATAACCTCCAACATTCACGACGCCCATGCAGAGAATACAATAATGTGATCCCATACGTCTTAATTTATGTGTCAGAGAAGTGGATACTGCGCGCATGCATTCGAAGACACCGCTTGCAAGGCATTGCGTGGGTCAAATGGAAAAATCTGGGACTTAATGCTGAGGACAAATTGCCTTTCAGAAGAGAAAACTCTCCCTCAATAGAAAAACTGGTCACGATTTAATTTATTGCTTTGCAAAGGCCTGAAGGAATGTAAACACCCAGGTGCGATTGGAGTTCACCTATGCACATTAGAAAACATGACAGTCTTGGATCGTATCAGCCCATATGTGATTGGTAGCCAGGTTATCAAACCACTGATTCACTTCTATCCCCGTTATTATAAAGCGTTTCTCCATTTTTGTTATTTTGGTTCTACTTCTATACCACATTTTCGTTTTTAAACTATACGTACACCGCTCTCTGACCCTGTCATTTCCCATGTTGCTTAAGTCAACACATGGTTTCGCTATCTGAAAAAGAACGTTGTCTTGGGCGGCCAACTTACACAGGCTCATGTTCTTCATTTTTTGTGCTTCGACGCGTGTGTGGACAGACTAACGCGACTCCGGGGGCCGTGTGCTCACGTCAGCCAGCATGTGCCCGGTGGCAGTTGAACACCATAAACTAACGAATGTAAGAAGGATTTTCCCACTCGTTTGCACACCAATAATTCCATTTGGCTTGGTGACAAAACACGTGCGAGCTGCTTGCCAGGCTCAAAAAACAAAAATTGGCCACCTGCTCAATCCTCAGCAAATGCGCCCTTACTACAGTTAATGAAGTAAATCCCTAAGAAATAGGTTTGACTCCTTCGATATGGGAACAAAGTTATTAGAAGTACACGGATGAACATTAGGGCGTTAGGAGGGTTTGCTGTTTTGCACTACTACAAAGCCTTCAAACACAAGACAGGCTGGGAACTATAATCCTTCTTCGATCCGGGTGCGGAACACCTGGTGATGTGATGGTAAACTTAAAGCCAGATCAGCCATTATCCGGTATTACTGGTGAACCAACCTTACTCACCACATTAACCGTTGCAAATGAACCCAGATATGCAGTTACTGGTGCTCCACACCTTTTTGTGCCCATCATGTCTTTTGATCAACTACTTACGCGTAAATTCGACCTCTTGACGGTACATCCGCCGGTTCGCATTCGCTATCTAACACTGAACTGAGGCATTTACCACAGGGTCTGATGCGCTGATTTTTTAGTAGATACGCCAATGGCTAGGTGTGCACCCCTGGTCAGTGGCTTGCACGTAGACGTTTGTGTCATTTCCGAAACCCAAACACAGCAACTTAACCAACAGCAAATTAGGTCCTTGGAAATTGTCAGCTGCAGATTTGGATGATTCCGCAGTCGATGGGGTGGTCTCCGGACAGTTTCTTCTTTTCAACTGGGTTCCAGTAGATTATCGATCATGAACTGTACGGATGTCCACCTCCATGAGAAATAACACTTGCCAACCTACCTCCTTATGCATAGTGGAACTTCATGAACATGAGTTCGCTGATTGTATATCCTAAGAGGTAACTACATACCTGAAGTAGATACATCCCTGCAACCACGAAGGTTCTAAATGTAATCTTGGGAGCCCTAAATGGACTCAACAACTC